CTGTGTGCACCTTGTTGTAGGTGTTGCAGGTTGTATTCACGCTATTCTAATGTGGTAAGATGTGGTAAAACGCTTGTTACCACCACCCATGAAATTGCTCTGTTATACAGTATGTGTGTTGCGCTGCCATGTTTTTAAATTCATTTATTTATATTTATTTTTAGCAACAAAAAAAAACCTTCCCCTCCTAATGTACTGAAGCCTAATGTGAATCATGGGTCAGACAGATTCACTATAATCTATCATCTAATTTAAAAAAAGTTCTCATCTACTGACCCACCCTTTTGTTCATGTGTTCAAATACCTCCTTGACACCCACACTTAGGACTACTATTACAGTGATCCCAAAGGAGGGAAAGGACCCTACACAGTGTTCCAGTTTCAATCTCCTTGCTGAATGTAGACCTCAAATTACAAATTACAGCAAATTACACATAGCAATAACAATTAGGTAGGCTTTGGTTCCAAAAGGGAAACAAAAGATAACACAAATAGGGCTTTACATTCCAAAATCCCCCCATCCAAAATCAGTATATGGCTAACAATACTGACACCCCAACACTCCTTCTCTCAACTGACACTGAAAAAGCATTTAATCAAGTGGATTGGAGGTTTAGGGAGACTATGCAGATGATTTATTACTCTTCATAACCAATCCTATCACGTTCCTACCTAACATTCCTGATGCAGTTTAAAAATATAGCGCCTCAACTTTAAAATAAATCTGCTCAAAAGTCAAAGGCCCTAAATATCATCATTTGGTATTGTGATGTGTCACCGGCACACCATACAGTGTTTGGACCTTATTTGACAGTCATGGTGCTCGAAGTGATAACACAGATGGCACCGTGTTTCCTAAGATCATGGAAGGCGAAGATCACCAGCACTCAGCCAAAAGTATAAAATGTATTTGCTTATTTATTGATGTATTACTAAGTATCATGTCACAAACATCATTTAGCTAACGTTTCAGGGCCACACAAGGTCCACTATGTCGCCCTGAGGAAGGGACCCTGCTTGGCCCCAAAACGTTGGCTAGATTACATTTGTGACATGTTACTTCAATAAATAGGCAAATTCCATGCTTTTGGCTGAGTGCTAGTGATCTCTGTCTTACTTAAAAATTACCATTCTGCTGCCAACTCTCCACAATATTAAATCACACTCAGGGGCGTCCCGAGGCTGGGTGTCACCCAGTCTTCAGACCGGGTGACACTCCACCGGGTCGTCACCACGCGTGAGCGTGACGTCATCGTGCATTTCTATATATATATATCTATATATCTATATATAGATATATAGATATATATATACCCACATACAGTATATATGTGTATGCTGTATTGTTTAAGACAAAACAACTCCTTGTTAAACAATTATAACTGAAAACAAGAAGCCCTTTGTAGGTGGGAGATATTCCAGATAAAACAGCATTGAATGTACTGCACATCATGTATAATGTATATAAAAGGAACTCCCATTAGGACTGTTGCAAGGAGTGATTAGTCTCTGTGCTTGGTTCCAAAGAGGCTTAATATAGAAAAGTGTGCAAGAATATGTTGGATGGATATCAAGAATTTCTCTCTATTCATCTGTTGCGTCTTTTTGAGGTAAAGTTGTTACAATTCAATCCTCTTCATGCTGATGATAATGAACATCAGGAAAGATTGTAGCATAGTTGTTAATAGAACGATGTTGAGGAAATAGTGAAACACAGCAGAGCATCTAATCCCCATGGGTTGCCAACAAAGTATCTACATGTATACCCTCGTTAAAACAGTCCTGCATACCAGGGGCGTAACTAGAAATCACAGGGCCCCATAACAACATTTTGTATGGTGCCCCATGATTGCTAGTTATGCCACTTGCAGAGCCCACCTGATATACCAAACAGCCCACCTGAGAGTGACCCTGCAGAGCCCACCATAGACTCTCTATAGTGGGCTCTGCAGGGTCTCAGATGGGCTGCACACCTCTTACCTGTCAGTGCTGTCTGCCTCCGTGGTCACCGGGCCCCACCTCCTCTTCCGCCCCCGGGCCACGCCTCCTCTTCTATTGACAGGCCCCGCCTCCTCTTACATCACTGGCCCCACCTGCTCTTAGGTCGCTGGCCAGTGATGTAAGAGGAGGCGGTGTTGCTGTTAGGCCGGCCCCGCCTCCACCTTCACTGCGAATGCTGGCCTCTTCTGCCGTAGCTGCTAGCTGTCACTGACACAGCTCCGCAGCGACTGTGAGGGGAAACGCCCCTGCTGAGCTGTGTCAGTTACAGCCAGCACCCTTACATGCCATAGCGACCCAGGCGTCCCACACGGAATCAGAGGTGTGCCCTGGCCGGGGCCCCCTGTGCATGGGCCCCATAGCGGCCGCCTGGGTCGTTATGGCGATTGTCACGCCACTGCTGCATACCAATGTGTCAATGGCATGTATATACAATCGGGCATTCAAGGATGTTTAAATTGCCCCGTCATAATGTCACTATCCCCCATGTAATCTTCGTAACTGTAATTAGTAGAAAGATGAATAGTGAGGAGAAAGGGGGATAGGAGAAGGGAGCGATCCACCGATCAAAACTACTAACCCAAGTTCAACGGCTCACCCACAATGTGGCGTGATAGAGTCTCATCCTGGGTACATATAGTAGATGATGTGAGTGTTGGAACAGACATTAGCTCTGAAGTTGTGTTGCTTCAAGAAGCTGATATTCCATCCAGCATGAAAAGTAATCAAGTAAAAGAGTTAACCTCCTGGATAGTCCAAATCTCGCAGCATTCCTGCGCATAAGGGATCAAGCAGTACCAGGACCGAAGGCACGTGCAGCATCCACCAAACCCTGACATGTTTCCTCCCAACCTGGTAATGGTTGCCCTTTTAGAACTCCTCCCATACCCACTCTCCTATCTACAGTCTTTCTATTTTTGTATTTGCATTCTTATTTCTTATTC